GGTATTTGTTTTTCTGTCTACATAAAACTTTCTTTCATTCTAAATGAGAGGGAGAAATGACTTAGCCCATCTTACTGTCCTAAGTGTCTTTCAAGTATGGTAATTTATTTTTAAGATCAGATTTCTTTGGAAAAGTTTGTTGTGCTTAACAAAGAGAAAAGTGACTTCAACCTGTGTGTGTGTGTGTGTGTGTGGTGTGTGTGTAATTTGTTTTCATCAGAAGTAAAAATGATAGATGGGCTTTGTTAAGTAGTCGGCACTAAGTAGGGTAATAGGTTTTGTATCAGTGTGCATTGTATAGTGCGAAAGTTATCAATCTGTAGTTTCATTTGAATGAACTTTAAAAAAAGTCATGCAGAAAAAAGATCTTTGTCCCTATGTATTTATCTATATTATATATAGACAGTCTGAATTTTTTGAAATCTCCTTTTCTGGGTGAGTGTATGAACTGATTCCTCATATTTGTGCCTTAATTTTTGGCTACTCCTGTGATTCTGTCCTTGGGCCTTTGGTGTTAGATGGGTATAGGCCTTTTAAATTGCTTTCCACTGGATTGCAAAGAGCACAGTGGTCTGTGAATTACTTCTCAGTTTCATATGGAAGAATTCTTAGAGTAGTGCAAAGTTACTTCCCTTCATTTTGGAGAGACAAATATTCCCTATATCTGTGTTCACACAGAGAGATTAGCAGCAAAAATTGTCAGTATATCTTTTAGTCTTGTGTTGAGTTTGGCACTCTTAAAATAAAACAGAACTTTGTCTTACTGGCATTCTTACTGAACGAAGTTTGCCATCTTTGTGGACTAAATCTTTGGAGGTAACTATATTTTATACCTGTATCCCTTTACCAAATGGAGTGCCAATGATGGACACAGTTTTCAAATGAGAGAACTGAGAAAACTGTTAGCCAGTTATATTGGTGAACTGAATGAATGAGATTTTCTTTTCTGTTGGATTGTTTGAACAACAAATTAGACAACAGACAAACCCACATCCATACATAAAAACTAAACTTCTTTTAATATACAAAGATGTTTTTGAACCAATACTAAGGAAGTAAACAATACTCCTATAAAGCACAGTACTTGGCTATTTTTTGTTATCATTGGAAATCTAATTTTCATCGAATAGAATGTCAGTTCACTTTATAACTGTCAAGGTAAATACAAACATTTATACTTTACTTGAGCTACTCTTTTGGTGTATAATTCTAAGTGTGACTCTTTGCCCAAGAACCCATTGAAAGATTTTAAGTTTAATAAAGAATTAAAGGATAAAATTGAGGCTGGCCTATATATAAATATAGCCAGATTTGTCTCTTTAAATGAACAGTTATTATTTTGATACTGTTTTTTAAAAGAGAAGACTAGGTAAAATTCTGTATGAGTGGGGAAACAAATGATAATAACATTTTAAATTTGCTGATTGAGTCTATGATTTTATCCAGATTAGAGTTTTTAATATTTTTGCTTCTTGCCAATTATAGAATGAAAACTAACCAATTTCCTTTGCCTTGTAACATTTTCTATGTAACATCTACTTGTTCTGTTTTAATTATGCTACTTAGTGGGTGCATTCTTCAGTTTTTTTAGAGGCAACCCACAGTGTCATTTAAACTTCTGGTATAAAGTCTTTGAAGGAAAAAGTTTTGTAATTTTTTCCTAAACGTGAAGTAGTTAGTGGACATCTTTCTTTAAGTCATATGTAGATACATGAAGACTGATTTTGGCAAATATATTATTACTTATCACACTATCTTCTTTTACCTAAATCTGAGCATTTGAAATTAGATACTTAAAATATAGAGAACATAACATGATAAAATAAAAGCCTAACAAAATGCATTTGGGCCAGCATCAAAACTCTTTGAAACAGGATATTTAAATAGTGTGCATTTTAGATAGTGTACATTTTAAATAGTATGCATTTTATCTTGGAGTGAGACAGAGAGAGAGGGAGAAAGAGAAAGAGCGAAAGAGAGAGATTGGTTTGGGTTAGTTCTAGTGTCCAGATAACTACTAACTGGCTTTGTGCTCTGAAGCATATATTAATAGAACTTATCATTTTGGATTAATCTGATGTGAATTAATGAGATTTATTTGATAGGGGCTGTTTGAATGTGATGACACTTAAATCTCAACAGGATTTGAGAAGTCCAAAAATACCTGTAAAGATTCGGGAACAATGGGTTGAGAGAGAACACATTAAACAGAAAATGGATAGCAAAGAACAGGGTCTGACACGGAGTTTATGAAGTTTGATACAGTTTACAAAAAAAGCAATCTACCATTGAAGTATTGCCCTGAAATCTGAAGAAATAGAAAACACTTAAACTCCTTCAGTAATTCTTGGATTTGTGAATTGGGTAAACAATGTCTCTTGCATTTTATAGTTCACTTAAGCAATCTGATTTTGATCTGTATATATGGAGTAGACAGGATTCAAGTGTTTTTCTCCCAAACCAATGAGCAGACACATATGTTCTTTTAAAACTGAACTTTGTGTGTTGTTCATATGGAAGCTATCTAGTTTGCTATAGGCCTAAGACATGACCTTCCTTTTATTTTGCTATCACTTGCTTAATTCTTTAAATTCTTTGTGGGGGACTTTTGATCAAAAGAAACATTTTGGTTCTCTTTTTTCTTTCTTTATAATTTCTTAGAAATAAAAGCTACATGAAGTGTGTAATTAATCTCAGTACTCCTAGGCTGATGATACAAGCAAGCAGGGGAGAAAACATATCCACAAAGGAGAGGACCATCAGGACTTTTCTTTTTGTGTTAAGCTTTGATTTCAAGCACTTGAAAGTTTTATTATCTAGAAAAACAAAAAGAACATGTCATCTGGTATTATATATTATGAAAATAAGAGCTGCTACTTATAATAAAAATCATGTGCAGCAGGATTTGAGACCGAGGTCAGATTACACAATCTTTGCCCCCCTAATTTTTTACAGTCTTGTTCAGAATATATACATGTATACACACACACACACACACACACACACGGGAAGGGATTTTTTCTCTTTTAGGAACCGGAGATCCTTATGATCATTTTCTTTGCTCTTTAACAATACCCTTACTCTCTTAAACTAATGACAAATAATACAATTAAAGTGATCTTTCTTGGTGTAGTTGACATTGGACCTACATTTTTAATACTTGAATTTGGGGGGGGAAATGAATAACTGAATGAATGGTAGGCATTAGTAGTATTTAGGCCATCCTTAGTGGTTGGTGGTTTAATATTTTATAGTCTTTCAGCGAAATTGGACAAAGGTTTTCAAAGGTAAAACTAAAGTGTTATTAACCAGAATGATTACAGAGTCACAGAGTCAGGGAGAAGTTTAGAAATAATTTATTCCCTCATTATACAGATAAGAACAGAGACTCAGAGAATGGGAAGGACTTGCCCTTGATCACATAAGCATGTGATCACATCCAGAAACTGGACATGTGATTTCTACAGACCTTTCTTCTTCTTTAGGGTTTTGTTATTTACTTTAAGGTTAATATTCTGTAAAGAACATTGTCATATCTTACCTTCAAGTAGTTTCTCATATAATGGAGTTAAATACTGGTGCTCATCTTCATTGGGTGACTGTGAGATGTCAGGTTCTTTCAAAATTTTTGTGATAGTTGTTTTCTTTAGTCAAATAATATATTGAATTATCTCTTGTAAATTTATTTGGAGTATCTCGTAAGTGTCTGTACATATATTTATATACATGCATATTTAAATACACATTGATACAGGTAGACATGCTTAGTTATGTTTACATATATTTAATGTGTGCACACATATATGAAATATAAGTAAATAATTAGGGGGTTAATCCACAGTATCCAGATGTAATAGAAAACTCAAATTCCTTTGGCTGTGAAGTGATCACCCTGAGAACATAATCTTGTCTTTTACAGAAAATTGTTTTCTTATCTATTTAAGCATTTTAATCAGTGAGACCAAGTAGTTATTAAATTATATTTTAAGCTCTAATGCTGATTATTAGTTTCACTGCTTAAGTCTAAGTAATACTGTAAATTAGACATAGTACCCTCTTTATTGCTTTTTAAAAAAAAGTGATGGGAAACACTTTCTAAGAATGCAAACAAAGCTTTTAGATTTATTTTAATTTAGAAAGAAGTACAGTTAGTCAAGAGTAGAGATTTATGATTTTTGCAGAGGTAATACCTTATATTTCACAATTGTAAAGATAATGGAACATTTTGATGGAGCTAAACATATTTTTAACCTTTTTACGTATCTTGGGAGTCCCATGTGATTGGCCGTTTAAGTAGCGTTCATGTTTTTGTGTGAGTGGAAGATGATGTCAGTTTACACAATGCTCACTATTACCCCGGAGTCGGTTTTGTTTCTCACAGTTACATAGAGGAGTTAAATGAGCAACTCTGAGCCTTGTGGTTTTTTAGCGTCTCTTAGTCCAGTCGGCTTTCAGCTCTGTTATCTCTGACGGCTGTTTATAGTGAACCTACTTTAACTGGCATCTTGAACTTTTTATTTTTGTAGTCTGTATGAGGCATATTAACTGCTATGGAGCAGAATGATACTGTTTAAAATAGAATTGCCAAAACTGATGACTGAGGTTCAGTCACGTGGTTATGTATTTTATTGAGTTTTAAATTTTCCCTAATAAGGCATTGCTGGTGTTTACAAAGTAAGATCCTATCCCCCCAAACTTAGAGTAGGTAAGTATCATAGTCTTTAGGTTTGGGGAGGGCGGGTTGTGGTCGAATAATTTCACCAACATCATAGTCTCTTGTGAAACTGATTTCATGTCTTGTGATCTTTTTATCATCTTCCTCCCCCTGCTGCTTTATTCCAAGGGAGGAGAGGACACTGCTCAAGGTCTCCTCCTGCTTGTATCAGATGTTTCTCCAGCAGCTCACGATGCTGCCGTATTAATGTATTTTAGGTGCGATACCTTAAAGTGTGCTTGCATCATTTGGGAAGGAAAAAAATTTTTTTTGCTTTGTTTTACAGATGTGCAACTCAGCTCTCAGAATGTCTTCTGTGTCCTCCCAGCGTTTCTAAGACAGTCGCATTAGCTTCCTGCTAGTTGACTAATAGAATTAATAATTGTAAAAAGCACTCTAAAGCCACATGCCTTATGAAGTCAATGCTGGGTATGATTTTACAAGTATGTGATCTATTTTTTTTTTTTGAAGTGAAAATGTTAACTGGAAAAGTTCTTGGCAGACAGTAAAACATCGTGCAATCTGTTATTTGTCTTACAGATAATAACTGGAGAGTGGCTCTAGTCTTATGGTATCTAACTTATGACTTGCTAGAGGAGTTTCTTCCACTTAGAAGTATTGCAAATGTGCTTATATTTACATAATATGTCACTCTGAAAAATGATGATCATATAATTCCAGTAAGAATTATTTTTCTATAACTACTTCAAAGTATAGTCAACTAAATTAGCCACATTTTTTTTTTTAAGCAGCAACTAAAAAGTACATGCCCCTACCCCCACAGTGCAGAGTAAAACCCAAATGACCTTTCTGATACTTCTTTGAAGTTTTAGCAGTTAACCTTCTTTGCAATGTATATTATTAAGGGCTCTAGTCAGCATAAGGAATCAGTGAGTCATACATGTTCTAAAGGTCTGTTCTTGGGTAGAAAGAGGGAACTGAAATTTGGAAAGATGATAGTTTAATTACATCATATTTTTCCTCTAAGGCCCTAAACATTTGAATAGCTGAATAGTTTTGAAACTTTGACCCATTACATCTCTTTATGATAATGATAAATTAGTAAGGTCTATTTTAAATTTAATTCCATTCCCTGGCTATTTAAATTATTGTCATTGTTCCAACCACCTTGACATTAATATATGGGCATGAGCCATTTTCTCTTCATTTTGACAGAAGGGTAACATTAATGAGTTATCACCTCTTTAGACATTCTGTTTTTCATATAGGATTTTAATTTTTTTGTTTAACCTTATTTACTTATGTAGGTGAGTCAGAATGTAGTCACTGAAAAAACTGAAAGACAAAATATAGTTATTCAGTATTTGTCAGAATAAACATTATAGTGTGGTATGTATAATAGAAGAAACAATCATGGAATTCTAGAGAGAAAGTCACATTTTCATAGGTAGGAAAAGCCTGGTACTCAGTGATCTAGAATATCCTTTTATATCAGCCAGATTCAATGCATATATAGACACGTATATACACACTCACATTTTATAGGGAGATCTCACTGTGTTGCCCAGGCTGTTCTCAAACTACTGGGCTCACATCCCTCCTACTTCAGCCCATTAAATAGCTGAGATTACAAGCATTTGTCCCTACCTCCAACCAGTAGATTTTGCTTAAACTTCTGTTTAAATAATGATCCATTTCTTCAATTTCCTCTGCACTTTTGGTCTTTATTTTTCCCTTCATTGGCCACTAGTAAAATTGCTTTCAATTTTCCATGTGTTCCCCATCCTGAGGTGCCTGATCACTTCTGCAAGAATAGAGGTCTCCCAAACCATTGCCATCAACATATAAGACATTCAAATGCAAGCACTGCAGAAATACAATGAACCAGTGCTTCTTGCGATGAGTCCTGTAAGGAGGCACCCAGGAGAGGAACACTTGGCCCCTGCCCCAGGAAGCCAGGCAGGGTGACGTTGCCTCCGAACCATCAGTAACTCTTGAAGGCTCAGTCTTTCATCTTGGAAATTTTTATTGTTCTGAGAGGGAGATTCTATGGCTCTTGCTGGTATGGAAGAGGAACAGTGTTTTTTTTTAAATAGGTGTACTGTTGTCAACATTATTCACTAAGGTGAATTTTTACCTTATAAGTGATTCCTTATATAACTACTGCATTATCTTTGTTCAGAGACTCATACTATAAAATATTTTTGCTTGACCAGCTTTTCAGAAGCAAAGGTACACCCATCCTTCCCAGGCCAGTTTGGTTCCTCAGCACTTGTGAAAAATTATAGACAAAAATGACTAATACCATGTTATTAATCTGGATTTTCCCAGCACATTTTGGATAATCATGGTGTTATGAGCTCTATTAAATTGGTCTTCCCAGCAGTCTGCTACTAAAGAAGGCTTGTTTTATTAGAAATCGAATTTTGTAGATGTTTGGGGTAATTCCATGGATAGAGTTTGACAGTTTTCCAGCTGCATCCTTATGGAACACAACCCACAGAACCCCACCGTTGATTAAGCTTTGCTAGTGTATTCTTCCATGGATAGGACGCACATTATTTCTTATTTCTCTGTATCCTTAGGATTCTGATTCATTAGATTCCTATGAAGGAATTTGTCCCCCACATTCTAATTTTGATCTTGGTTGATGATGTCACTATCCAGAAAGACACAGCTGAGCTACCACATAAAGGGAAAGCATAGGATAGTGCTAAGTCTTTGCCATTTTCACGTGCAACATGATGGTGTTGTATGGTTCAATGTGCGGTCACCTTCCACAGTACTCCTGGTGGTAGACCAGTTGGCTGCAGGCTTTGTGTAATTGGCCCTGGATTTGTTTGCTTTGCTATCATGCTAAAGACAATCCTGTTGAAACCTCGCCCTACCGCCTCGCTGCTGTACACCAGGTCTCCTCATTTTCAAGAGAGCCCTCAAAGAGTCTTAAAAGAAATTGGTTGGTGGTTCAGAGATGAAGCGTTCATTATCCTCCATTTCCTGGAAGTAATAACAGGGCTCTTTTCAGAATGTTCATCACATGGCTGTTCTGTCTTTATGCCTAGGAGAGCATTTTGGTGGAAAGAGTATAGCTTGGTTGCACAGTGTAACAATATTAAATGATAATTGATGATGTTTATATATACATGTATCATATACACAGATAATATGTATTCCGTCAACCAAACCATGTATATATATATATACACACAGTGTATAACATGTATACATATTATATATAACCTATAACATGTATAAATATATGTCTGTGCATATATCATCCATTATATTTAAAAAAAGAAGTTGAGCAAAAACGTAATTGGTAGGGAAGTCTAATAATAATGATAGAGCCAGTAAAGATAATGAGTCCTTTAACATTCATAAATCTTTTTAAAAAATAGATGAGATGGTCTGTGATAAAAAAATTCCAAATGTAAATTGTTTGCTTTAGTTTCAATTTCTTGCTATTTTTAAGAATGATATTTCTGCTAGAGGAAGTATTTTATTATACACCTTAGAAAGTTTTGAATAGAGTAAGTACAGTATTCTAGATTTGATTACATGTCTGTGACTTTCAAATAACTCTACTCTGCCTTTTCTGTGTATTTTTGCAGATATGGTCCGGAAAAAGAATCCCCCTCTGAGAAACATTGCTAGTGAAGGCGAGGGCCAGACCCTGGAGCCGATCGGTGCAGAAAGCAAGGTATCTGGACAGAATAAAGAATTTTCTGCAGATCAGATGTCAGAAAATACGGATCAGAGCGATGCTGCAGAACTAAATAATAAGGAGGAGCAGAGCTTGCACGTCCAAGATCCGTCTTCTAGCAGTAAGAAGGAGGCCAAAAGCTCAGTCCTGGGTGAGAAGGCTGGCTTCAATTATGAAAACCCCGGCAAGGGAGGAAACCGCCCATCCTTTCCGCTTGATGAGGTGACAGACAGAAATATGTTGGCTTTCTCATCTCCAGCTGCTGGGGGAGTCTGTGAGCCCTTGAAGTCTCCTCAAAGAGCAGAGGCAGATGACCCTCAAGATATGGCCTGCACCCCATCAGGGGACTCATTGGAGACAAAGGAAGATCATAAGATGTCACCAAAGGCTACCGAGGAAACAGGGCAAGCGCAGAGTGGTCAAGCCAATTGTCAAGGTTTAAGCCCAGTTTCAGTGGCCTCAAAAAACCCACAAGTGCCTTCAGATGGGAGTGTGAGACTAAATAAATCCAAAACTGACTCGGTGGTGAATGACAACCCAGACCCGGCGCCTCTGTCTCCAGAGCTTCAGGACTTTAAATGCAATATCTGTGGGTATGGTTACTATGGCAACGACCCCACAGATCTGATTAAGCACTTCCGAAAGTATCACTTAGGACTGCATAACCGCACCAGGCAGGATGCTGAGCTGGACAGCAAAATCTTGGCCCTTCATAACATGGTGCAGTTCAGCCATTCCAAAGACTTCCAGAAGGTCAACCGCTCCGTGCTTTCTGGTGTGCTCCAGGACATCAACTCTTCAAGGCCTGTTTTACTAAATGGGACCTATGATGTTCAGGTTTGTGCTTTCTGTTGTGGTCTTTTGGTACAGAAAAAGTTAGAAATAATGAAATGGCAGCTTTCACATGCGTGGTAAAAGCAAGGTCCCAAGACCAGATGGTAGCTTTCCAGATGCAACAGAAGAACTGGATGTACCTCATGGCTGCCTCATCCAGATGGCCTTTAGGGTTGTCTTTAGCCCCTCGTTATGGGAAAAATCCCAGCATTTCTGTTAGGCTGGGAAAAGTCTTTTCATAGATCTAGCTAAGCTTCATATTTCTAGACATGTTTCATGATAACTGGATATTTTCACAGTCTTCTAAAAACGGCAGTAATCTTTATGGCTGTGCATGGTAATAATTCATTCCTTGTTCTACTTTCTGATTATAAGGTTTCTGCTGTAATTTTTCCTCTTATGAAGATCTTTCCTGTCTCTTGGATTAGAATTTGATTTTATAGTGAGCTTGACTAGACTTGGGTCATATTGATGGTTACAGAGTTATTCTTCTGAGAAAACAAAATAAAAGTGAAGTTTTGGAAATAATATGCTGGTGGTCGAGATATATTTATGAAAAAGCAAAATAAGTGTAAATGAAGATGTGGAAATAACCTTTTATATTGGTAAAAAAGAAGTCATTATGATTGTAAATACTGTAGGGACACCAGAATGACCTTGGTGTAGGCCAATAAAGTATTCCTTTCTGCATTTAAGGAAAATGGTAATAATTTATGAAAACATTTAGTAATGATTTAGTTTCATTAAATATTAGCATATCGTTTTGATCTACTTCCCTGTCTGATTTTACAGTATATGTTAAGTGAAAAAAAATTGTTATAATTTCAAATAGAATGAAACATGGACCTGATTCTAAAGAAATGTGTTCATTCCACTTTAGCAAGTTCTGTGTAGGTGAAGCTTACGGTCAGCATGAGAAAGCTTTTGTTGTAATCTATACATTTTTGTGACATTCTTATGTCAGGGGATTTCTAAATACTAAGTTTAACATTAATCTTCTTTTGGAATGACTAGAAGTGCCAGAGAACTGATGAGATCACATCGCACTTATTTGCATTACTAAATCTTTTGAAATATCAGTCATTGTATTAACTTAATGGCCACAGCACATTTGCCGTTATCTTTCCATTGACCAACTGCCAGCTAAGAAAGACAACTGCCAGCTAAGAAAGACAACCCAAAGGGCTACAGATAACACGTAGTGAAAGTATTTTGCAATACTTACAAGAAGAATCAGAAGAGAAATTTCTAAGTTCTTTAAATGTCAGAATGGTAATCTTCCCACATTAATGGAGATATGAAGAACTCTTAGAAAGCCAGTTTCATCTTTGGTAAAGCTCTGTAAAAATTCTGTCTTACTTTGTGAATTTCCACAAATAGAATCATTTCTGTGGAGAAGCAAATTAAGCCAACATAATTATTATGCATGAAAGCTACATGCTTTGAACTGCTGTCTTATTAAAGATCATTTCACTGTCTTATGTCAGATACACTCTGCTGTCAAACTATGATTGGGAAGCAAATACGCATTTTAGATAAAAGGGTTGGAAGTGAATAATGTCGGTATGTGAAACGGTGTTTTATAATTAGCAAGTAATATGATGTTAATACCTAGATTTCCGGCAGGAGTTTTACTTGTTCACTCTGGGGACAACTTCTAAGGGAAGCTGATCGCTGCTGTCAGAAAGACTCTAAAAGTAAGATTACTGAAGGCCTATAGTTTGGAAGAATTCAGAGTTTTAAACACACTTCCATTTCTCCCAAACAGTTATTTGTTAGATTCTTAGTTATTTATAGTAAAGTTTATGTTTGGGTAGAACACTTTTCCTGGGCAGTGATTTTAGAAATAAAACAGATGTGTGAGCTATCTGAATTTGAACTAATAGAACTAGAAATAAAACAGCTGATCCTAGACTATGTGGTCTACTAAATCCTTGCAGCCGGCTGGGTAAAGAAGACAAAGGGTGGTAGGAGGTAACACGCAGAAGATACTCTCATTAAGATCACTTCTTTTTCAAAGAGAACTAATATTCTGAAAAATGGGAAAAAGCAATCCATGGGAAACAAATAGGTGATTATTTCAAATGAATGATTTTGAAACAAGTCTAGAAAGTGTTTACATTCACTGGGTGTGGTGACGCATGCCTGTAATCCTAGTACTCAGGAAGCAGAGGCAGGAGGATTGCTGTGAGTTTGAGGCCAGCCTAGGCTACATAGTAAGTTCAAGACCAGCCTGGGATATATAGTGAGACCCTGCCTCAAAAAACAAAAAACAGAACAATAAATAAATAAATAAATAAATAAATAAACAAAGTTAACATTCATGTCTGAAGATAACACTAAATGTACTTACAAAATGCAAATTTTGAGCCCTTTGCCCCTACAGCAGATACTGATGTTTAAACGTGTCTGTTGATAAGTAACTTATTAATATTTTTGTGCTGAAATACTGAGCAGCTCCTTTATCTGCAACAATAAAAGCACATCTGAAATTCTCCTTTTTACCCATATGTGCCGTGCTGCAGAAATGCTATTTGACAACTTCTTTCTTCTGCACTTGAACTATTTGGAGACTAAAAGCTGTAGGAGAGAAAATGCTGCCTACTGAATTTCTTTCATGCAGGTTTTTGTCAGAAATATATGTAGTAAGTTAATGACCTGACTGTATTCTGATTGCAAGATGAAGATAAACATCAGAATTGTAGACAAATAATTTCAGGAATTATTTATATAAATCTATAATTTAAGTTAATTGGAGGACTAGATGAACAATTCATTAATCTTTTTCAATTAAAGTGTATTTTTTTAACCATCACAGCAGTTGCTATCTAGTGATAGATTTATGACATTTTAGGCCAAGAAAAAAGGAACAGAAGCCAGAAGTAAGGAAAGAACTTAAAGAACACAGCAGCTTTGATCTATATTTTGGTTTGACATGGATGGTTTTAAATAATTTGAACTGACTCAAATGCTAATATGGAATATGCAGTTGGGGAAAAGGAGTCATTTAAACAACTTTGAAGCTTTGATATATAAATTTTAAATTTATATATTTGGAGGAATAACTGAAATTTAGGTAATATATGATGTGTATGCTCTACAATATGCTCTAATATGCTGTTCTGTGTACATTTTATAGCAAATAGCTGGTTAACATTTTAACCAGGTTAGAGCATGTTTATAAACATAATTTTGTGAAATAGTATACAGTTGTTACTTTGGTCAAGGGCACCTAAAATAGCCATCATAAAATCAAGACCGTCTTTTCTTACTCTTTTGAATTTATGACATTTTCTCCCATACACCTTGATGTGGCATGCCCAGCCCCGAAATCAGAAAATGTCATTTCTTTACTAACTAAGACAAGAAGAGATACAGTGGCTAGCCCAGGGCTAACTGATTTTTGAAATCTCTTTCAAAAAAAGAAATTCTCTTTCAGGATGTTAGTTTCTCAGTTTTTCATATTCCCTGCATGTTTTATCCATTGCTAGGCTTCCATTTTACAAAATAATGGACACGCATGATTGGGAAGCCCTTCATGTAATTTTTACTATCTGTATTCAGTCTTTGAGGCTTCCATGGACACCAATAATAGGACAAGAGATTGAGTTCTTAATAAAAGTAATTACAGCCTCTTTCTTTTTAATCTGCTTTATTATGCTTATATTTAAACCATCACTGAATGGAGGCTTGCATTTAAAACTCAGACTTCGCTGTTTCATTAGGGCTTAATGTGGTGTGCATTAGGGCGTTTGCATCATCTTTATAGGGGAGCTTTTAGCTCTCAGATCAGGTTATAAAAGTAGGAGTCCTGTCAAGTTGCGCTTCCCACGGGAAAGTGTTTACACTATGCCAAGTTTATAAATGCTCATGATGTATATGTTGTCTTTCCATATTGTAAACCTTTTCTATTATAATGCATTATTCAGGACTTCAAGAAGGTAGCTACTGGATTTCAGCTATTATGTTCATTTTGGCCTTTAATGAGATTTTAAGGTTAATAGAAGAATCACATTATTACTTTACCAGGGAGGATCTTATTTGAACTGAGAGAGCTGCATTTCTGTATTTTTTTTTTTTATCAGAGTTGCACAATAGGTCATGTTAGAAACAGGAAGAATAGATTTAGAGATAGAAAGTCATCTTTTGCATTTGTGTTTTCAGCATATTTAACTGAATGAGCTTTAAAAAGCCTTAACTTATACATGTTAGTACTTTCATTTGAGCAGGGGCTTACAGTTAGGTCTGAAAAAAGAAAAAAAGAAACCTCAGGGAACATTAATCTCATTGTGGTTTATTTTGACTTGTCTTGAATTTTACTTCCAAATATTTATTTTTTGCCTTGGAGTTTCCTTTGATCTGGAGTAGGAGGGAAGTTGTAGATCTTAGCAGGTTCTGTTTCTTTGTTTTTCTGAGTTGAGGACAATTGCACTTTAGAAAAAGTGGTGAATGAGACTTTAATCAATTCAGACTGTCCACAGAGTACAGACTGTTTGAGATATGAACCCATTCTTATTTTCAGGGCTGTGTCTCTTTAACAAGTAATAAAGTGTGCAAAATAAAACATGTGCTCACCCCAAGGCCAGAAAGCAAAGCAAACTTTTGACATTTCCCAGGTCATTTTCATCAGTGGAGATGGAGGAGTTGGATAATGTAGCCACCTAGGTAGAGTAGTTGGACAGTCTTCACCGACCTGGTTACCTGAATGACAATCAGATCTCTATTTGACACTGTTACATGAAAGTTGGTACAATAAATATCAGTACCTTTTTGATTTTTAGTTTATGTGTTATCATTCAAAGAGCATGTTATCATTTTCTAGAATATCAGTGTTTCTCTCCAGGCAGAACGTTCAGAAGAAAAGAAATTACAGTTATCAGTGCAGCCAATCAAGTTTAGCATTATTCAACTCTTAATAAAAGTTTTGTATCTCAGATGGCCTGCTTTGTGAACCATATCAAGTCAGGAGATTATTCCATGCTTTTTTATTTCTTGGGTCATTG